CAGATTACTTTGTTCTGGAACATTCTTTCCGGCATTTTCCTGCACAAAATGAGTAAAAATACTTACAGCCGCAGCTCTTCAAATGTTTTCACTGAGTAGAGCGGAGACCTGGGATCCTTTTGTAAGACTTCGACTCGGTGACTGGATTCTACTAATGACTGCCGGATTAATTTGTTCAAGAGTGAATTGGCTGCCAAATCCACTAGAAAAGCAAAAATAAAAAAGGAAATACTGCACAAGAAAATCCAGCTTCCTAAATGACATCTAATAAATTGTTCCTTCCCATTCAGTGGTTGTATATCAAGCAACTGCTCCTACTCTTACCTTCCTCCTAAAAGAAAGTTCTAGAAACCATGACTTAACACAGAGAGTTCCTTTTTACATGTGGATCCAGTTCCTTGTGCCCTGCTGTTACACCAACCTCTGGCCTTAAGCAAGCCTACATCCATTACCACCAGACCTAATTTTGCCTTGCCGGCTGAAAATTCTTGCCTCATTCCCCCATATTCCATTTCAACTCCCTCTAAAGAAATACGGCCTACACCCTATTTAGTATTTCTTCTGATAGTCACTATTTATAAAGAAAATAGAGGAAAAGACAGTTCTTTTTCACTTAAGATTATGTTATTCACTCACATTGTGAAAGTCATGATTCACTGATACAAGAATGCTGTTACATGCAAATGAATTGACTCCTACCTACATCTTCTTCATCATCCTCTTCCGTGTTATTAATAGAACCATCTGAAAGGATGGAAAAGAAACAATAAATACCAAACAGAAATGTAAAGTGTCCCAGCATCTCTCACCAACTCCACAGTGAGCAGTGTCATGAACAGTCACCCAATGGACAGTGGGTAAAAAGACAGGGTCTTTTTTTACTACCTAGTGGAGGACCATGAGTATTAAATTAATGAGAGCTGAAGGTTTTTCGGCTGCCTGGAACCTGAGGAAAGCAATGCTTTTTAATTAATTGAGACCGATCTGCTCTATCTAACAGCACTCACCTACGTTTGAGACCGGAGTACTCCTAATACCCCGAAGGTTCTTCCGGGGGTGGATGAGGTTTGAAAACTATTGAAAGACACAAATTTCAATCAATATTAGAAAGCAAGCCACCAAGAAGCCCAATACTCCCCACTAGCAGGGAGGGACCACCCGAATACTGTTTCCTTTGCAGTATCAGGTATTAATGGATTCTTTTCAGGTCACCTGGATGAATTATGGTAAAATGAAGGAGCCTTTCTGGTGCCCCTGTACCTTAAACTCCTCTTTATAGTCCTCTAATCTAAATGTGCCAGTCCCTGGGGGTCACACACAGCATGAGCAAGGGATGGTAGATAGCAAAGCGCGGTGGTCGGTAAGATGGCAGCTAGCCGAGCCGCAATGGTCAAATTGGGAGGGCAGAAAACTCCGAGGTCTAGTTGGGACTATCAGCTGCTTTCTCTCCCGGGACTCCTAGGGGTCTTCATTCTGCCCTTTCAAACCAAAGGCCTTGTGTCTCGGGGTCTCCTTCCTCTGGCCCTCCCCAAATCCTTGCCACATCTCCACTCCACCATTTGACACCCCACTCCACACGCTAGCAGGGCTTCCCCCTCTCCCCGCCCCCCCGCCCTCGCCACACACCCCCAGCATATTCCCCCCTCAGGGTGAGGTTGTGGCTCCCGCCCACCTCCCCTCCCCCGGCTCAGCGGCGGTTACATGGCTGTTCAGCCGCTCGCTCTCCGCCGCCCCGGCGTCGCCTCCCCAAAGTAACGACGCCATAGCCGCGATCGCAGCTCCCGCCCCCAGCACGTGCGCCCTCCCGTGGCACGAGGCAGTGTCCGGCCCCAGCCAGCGGCCAATGGGCTTCCTCTGGGGGCGGGCTTACGCGCCCGCGACCGTGGGCGGCGCGGCGGCGCAGGCGCGCGAGCTCGAGGTGGGTGGGGGGCGGGGGGGAGTTGGCGGCGGCCTGAGCCGGAGAAGTGTGCTCTTGGGGCCGGCTTCTGTTCCACCGGCACTCCCATCTGCCCCAGGGGCTAGAAACGGGCGACGGGGCGCTACTGTCGTGAACACTCCTGTGCTCCGAACTTCTGCTAAGCCAACAATAGCTTGCGACTCTAAGCTGCAGCAATTTTCGCACTGATTAGAGTTCTTCCTCCCATGCACACCAGTCACTACAGACAATTCTCCTCACCCACCCCTGGTTTCAAGCACTTGTACCTACGTTTCCCCCTAAATATTCGCTTCTGCATTACAAGATGTCAGAAAGGCCAGAGAATTGCATAGGACAGTAAAGGCGCAGAATGAATGAGTTTCATCTGACAATTCAAATGCGAAAGATGAGAAGGGGGAGTGAAGTTACTCAAGTTCTAATTTTTGCTCCTGTTCTAATACTGTGATGTTTCCGCATACCGGCTTGTTTTAATTTTAATTCTGTTATGTGCCCTTTGCTAAAGCAATCCTGAGGAAACTCTTTTCCTTGAGGTAAAACCTCCACCTCTTATCCGCATCAGCATTATCCAGGATAGGTTCCCTGTGCTACTGACTGCTAAATTTGGACAAAAGAAGCAGATTTACCTGTTTTCTAACTGGAATCTTGAGATTTGGATCAGCATCTCTGCAAAAACCCACAAACCAAAACCTAGTTATGATCTCTCCGTGGTGCTGAAGCACGACTCCCCAGCTCTCTTCGGGCACTCTCAGGCACCTTAATCGTTTTGAGGTTATCAAATTCCTTTATATGTGGATTCTAATAGCAAATGTTTTTGTCTTACAACGGGTACCTTTCTTTTAATTTAAGTAGGTATAAAGTCGAGCCAGGTTCTTTAATGTTAGCTTTCGTATACAGATAGCAGATACTTGAAAAACTGCATTTCCGTTATTTTATCGCACTAGAATTTATCCTATATTTTATTCTTGTATTAGCATAGGCTCCAGATTCTGCTTTGTCGGAGGTGAAGTTGTGGCCAGCAAGAAAACATTAGGCAGATTTTAGCGTCAAGCCTGCACCTCGGTCTCTTGGAACTACATTTCCCACAAGGGTAGACTACATCTCCCATGAGACCCTGGGCGCGCGCGCAGAAGACGCAAAGTGACAGCTTCCTGTCTCGCGAAAGGCTGCGTGGTCGGCAACCGGAAGGTAAGTAAGGGGGTTTGGGGATGAATTATCTGCTGGGTTCTACAAAGAGGGACGGATCAGTGGATAAACAGCTGGATGGTTCTTTTTCTCCACCGCTTCCCCTTGTTTTTGCAGGCACTGGTGGGTGGCCATGGGATCTCGCTTAGGACCCTTGTTTTTGTATCTGGTGCTTGATGTTCCTGGTATAGACTCGCAGCAGTAGGAACATCTTGTAATTCAATTTACTTAGAAGGCCTTTGGACTGTGGAGTTAAGTCTCTGCTTCCTCAGAATTTGTTTGGTCACAAAACTAAATACTAGTACAGGTCGGGATTCCAGTAGTAGGTGGAGAGGGACGTGTGGCGACTTATTTCCAAATTGGGAGATAGCTTTCCATGCCATTGCTTTTTACTGTTTAGTGATCATAGTGCGTGTCTCCTGAACCTTGGCTATTCCTCCTTCCCCTTTTTGGTTTAAAATAAAGTTTATCATGGATAACTCTTTCTGCTACCCTATTGGTTATTAATATTTTGAGATTTAAATTTTTTCAACTTCAAAAAATGTATTAAAACCCCAGCGATATCTGGTTATATGTACAGTCCATACTCGGCGCACACACGACTTCCCTCCTTGTGGTAACTTGGCAGCCCCTTTCCAGGCGTTGCGTGTGCTGGAGGAAGCATTGCACATAGTCAGGAGTCTTGGACCCAAGTCCTCTTTTTGCCACAAATCTTACTACCTGCGTAAGGCCTTTGGTCTAGTTCTCTGGTGAAAAAAGGGTTAAACTAGGTAGTCTGTAAACTTTTTGGGTTGATAGTGGGCTTTGAGATAATATAAAGGGACGTCATTGGTGCAATTTGCATATAAAATGCTTTCAAGTTTTTTTTTTCCTAAATAAGCGGTGTAAACACTACCTTTAATCTCACTGCCCAGTAAGGTTTTGATTTTTTTCTTGTGCTTTGTGTATATGACTGTGGTCATACTGTATAGTTTACAGCTTGTTTCACTTAATTTGCACTTTGTCAATAGCTTCCCATTATTTTCAGAGGATAATATTCCTGATCATTTCACTACTGTTGGGATAGTTTTCAATTTTTACTTAATTGCCGTGAGCATATCCCACATCTATCTTTGAGTCACTGATTCTTTCCCTGATAAATGCTTCCAGTGGAACTGGACAAATGTGGCCCAGATATTTTGGTGAAAATATATTTTAGCATATAGGAATGGTCAACGTTATTCATTTTTATGTCACACAGCTGTTTTCCCTAAACAGGCAAATTATTTCTGTCACTGTAATGGCTTCAAATGCTACAAATGACATCCTCCAGATTTTAGATGTTCCCTGTTGGATTGGAAGCATCAAGAATAGAGCCAATTTAAGGTGAACAGAATTAGCATTTTGGTCTGTACCCAAATAGGCCAAATTCACTTGGATATTTGTATCTGCATCTAGTTAGATAGTATTCATAGTTAAGTTGTTTCATAGAGGGACTAGCCTTCAAGTGACAGGCATAATTTCAAAGAAAACCTCAGTGACAAATTACGAAAAGCATGGTATTCTAGAAGTGATAATTGGAGGGCAATATATTATTGAAGTAATTCTGGAATAAAACTTGGGTTAGAATCCTACACATATAGCACTGTTACTGAGCGTCTGTTGAAAATCACTTAAGTTTTTTGGATTTACTATATTCTTTTAGTGCTGGAGGATATCTGTGTTGTTAATCTCCTTCCTTCCTTTAGGACTGTATGCATAAAGGACAGCTTTTTGTTCCCATCCTCTGGCTCTCATTATTTAAGCAGTGAGAGTATGATGGAAGTAATGATTGGAGGGAGAATCATAACCTTGTTTTGAGATCATCTTATTTTGGGAAGTAGTAAGTAAAAATAAGATCAAGTTCAAAAAATTTCAAAATTCTTTAATGAATAAGCTTAACACCCAGCAACTTTAAAGACAGCAACTCACACATCGGCCAAAGGTTAGAAACAGCATAGAACAGAAATAGTGCTATCTGATAAAGTGGAAAGACAAGGCCTGTTTTTCCTTCTCTGGCATGATTTCTCTTGCAATTACTGGATTTGAGAGTGGTCATTTGGAAGTAAAGTAGCATTTGATACCAACGGGATTTTGACTTAGGAAAGACCAGTGATAGATGACGTCTTTATCATGTTCCATGGGCTTTCAAGGTAGTTGTTTCTACTTAAATAAAAGGAGAGAAAGAAGGAACCAGGCTACCCCCCAAACAATCCCATAAAAGAGGTTAAAAAAACACTTAAGAAGGAAAAAGCGGGAAGGGAAGCTTCCTGGGCATGACCCCATTTGCAAGGTCACAACGAACGCCCCAACGAAGGGCAGATCTTTTCTTCTCAGTTGGCACTAGGTAATTGTTAGGAACATAGATGTGCTGGGGCTTGGGCGGGGGTTCTGTTCGAGAAAGCATCTGCTCTCGGACACCCCAGCGTAATTCCTTTCTATGATCTTCACCAGGTAACCTCATTGAGTCCCAGTCTCGTTTGTACTCAAAATATCGGGCCACGCGGTCTATCTTGCCCCGGTTTCGGCTCAACTGGTCCAGCCTTGGGAGAATAAAGGACTTTGGTCGGCTGGCAACAATCAGGTCTTGTTCATAAGCTGGAGCGGCCATTCCTTCTCTTCGTAGATAGCACATGAGCTCATCTTGAGAAATTCCTTGTGGTAAATTAAATTTTTGTGAAATGTCAACTGGGGATTCCCTGTCTTCCTGGAACTGCAGACTCATCAGCTTTTGTCTCAAGTCCCAGACGTCCATATCACTTTCTGTACCGGACTCTGATTCACTGATAACCGACTCATCTGTCACTAAGACTTCCCCTCCTGGCTTCCTCCGCAACACCTTTCTCTTCATCACTGGCTTTCGGAGTCTTTGGGAGGCCTCTGAGACTATTTCTGAAGTGGCATTACTTTCTACATGTGGGTGCTGCAGTGGCACAGGGAGAGGTCGCTTCCCTGGGGTTACTGAGGCTTTACTGTAGGGGTCGTATTGCATAGACTGGGCATCTCTTCGGACATCTCCCTCACCCTGCCCCGCACAGATCTGGGTGAAAGCTGTAGCAGCTGCCAGCATTCGTTCTTCCGGATCCATATCAGCCCATTTTTGTCCACTGGGTCCCATGAGTTCCTCCATTGCTTCTCCTCCACTATAGGCCCTTCTGCAAGAAAAAATACTCATCAGTTTTCTGATAAATCCCAGCTCATAAATTGTTCATTCCCTTCTTGTGTTTATTATTTTATTGTAGTCAAACGGAGAAAGAATGGCTAAGGCAATCATAAATGTAATAGTTCTCTAATAAAATATAGAATTTGGTACAGGGTAGTATGGTAGCAGTTTGGAGTATTAAGTCAGTGCCAGAAAATCCACCACCTGCTTTCATTTCCACTCTTCTGGTTTGCTCCCACTTTCTAATGCCTGGCAGAGTTCTGCTACCTATAGTAGCTCCTAGGACAGGACAGGTGAGTTCTGGCGTTAAAAAAAAAAAAAAAAAAAGCTTGGGACATGATGCTTAATGTACATTATGCAACTTACACTGAGAAGAGCACTTTATGTATCTAGCATTGTTCTGTGTACTTAACATTTACTAATTATGTAATCCTGTGAGGGAGCTGGTACTCTTATAACCGATTTTCCAGAGACGAGTAATATGAGACATAAAGAGATTAAAGAACTAGCCCAAGGTTATAAGGCTTTTAAGTGATGGAGTTGGAAGTCTAACTCAGGCAGTCAGGCTTCAGTCCTTGCTTTTACCTATGAGTGATTTAATCCAAAATCATCACAAAGCAGTGCTATGCACATAACCATTCCTGTGCTTAAGTAATTTTAATACATCTTCAGTTGCCAAGGTAAGTCTGTTCATCTCAGGACCCTGTCACTGAATTAACTTTTAAACCCCAATCAGCCAACCAAATGCCCAATGCTAGTTTCCCGACTGGATCTAGGATAGGTACTGCCAATTCCTGTCTCCCTACACTTTTTTTTCTTTTTTTTTTTTTATACCCTACAATTTTTCTTTTTAAACTGAAAAACTAGTATATGCACATGGGAATTTTTTAAAATTAAAATATAGTTGACATATGATGTTACATTAGTTTCAGGTGTACATTTGACAAGTTTATAGATTATGCTAAGCTCACCACAAGTATAGCTAAAATGCTATTACAACACTATATATATAGTCACGACTAGACTTCCTATGCTGTACTGCACGTGGTAATTTTAAGTAAGGTCTCACTCTGAAAGGCAGTTTCTTATACTTTCTTTAGTAATCTTCTGTATTCATGTACATTTTTATACCAGAAAGAAGCATGTTAATACAATTCTCCTGAGACTTTTTTTTTTAACATTTATTTTTGAGACAGAGCAAGACAGAGCATGGGGGGCGGGGGCAAAGAGAGAGGGTAGACACAGAATCCGAAGCAGACTCCAGGCTCTAAACTGTCAGCAGAGCCTGATATAGGGCTCGAGCCCACAGACCATGAGATCATGACCTGAGCCGAAGTCGGATGTTTAACCGACTGAGCCACCCAGATGCCCTGCAACTCTCCTCCATTTTAAAGATGGTCTTGGTGATCCAGCTAGATCTGCACACATGGACTTCATTTTGTTTAATGTTGTACAGAATTCTAACATATGGAAGTACCATAATTTATTCGTTCAGTCCCTAATTTAATTTACAGTCTTGTGAAAAACGAATGTTACAAGTATCTTTTCAGTTTTTACATACTTGTGCAAGCCTATGTTTATGTAAAGTTTCTAGAAATAGAGTAGGTGCGTCAAAAGATGTGGGAGTGCTCAATTTGATAGATGTTGTCAACTGCCCTCTGAAGAGGCTGGACTGACAGCATCTTTCAGAGCTTGTTTCTTGATTCTGTCTCCAAAGTGGTGTACTACCAAACCTTCTCTGCAGTCGGCCTGATCAAAAATAGTTCTCATATAAATGGCATTTACACTGAGTAGAACTGAACAACTTGTCATACACTTTTATAAGCTATTTTCCCCCTTTTTGTATGAAATGCTTTTTCTTTCCCATTTGTCTCTTGGGTTGTTGGACTTTCTCTTATTGATCCTTAAATTATAACAGATGTATATATTCATAAAAATACTCTATGCCAAGCAAATTTGAGCTTTGCCATACTTATTTTTCTTTCAGTTTGTTGTTTACCTTTTGACTTTATTTTCTGCTAGTAGAAACTTTTAATTTTAAGTAATCACATATTTTGGTTTTCTGTAATTTCTAGGCTTCTCTAGTATCTTACATAGAAAAGCCCTTCACATTCCAAGACTATAAAAGAAAGGTTTTCTTCTAGTATTTATTATAGTTTCATTTTTTTATATTTAAACTTTTAATCTATTATAGCTACAGAATTCTCAAACGCCAAAAACGAAATGAGCTACCCAGATAACATAGCCTTAGAATACATTTGGTGACAATCCATAATAAAGTGGCCATCAGTTTTAGACTGTCTAATATAATACTGTCCCAATTTTAAGAATGTAGTATATTCATCCCTGGATTTTTCAAATACGTCAGGAATTGCAACATCTTAATTTTCCAGACTGACTTTTCTAACTGCTAGAGGTATAGAGCATAAATCTGACTTTAAAAAAGGATCATGATGCTTAATTACCTTCTCTCTGCCATCAAAACTACTTAAGAGTGGGAAAATCTTGACTTCAGGCTCTACTTCCAATATGAAGTACAATCATTGACAAGCTTCGTCAATCAGGCTAGCTTCTGCTAGGCACCTTTAAGACAGAACTGAGTGTTAGAAGACAACATACAAGCCACTAATTTTATATGAAATATTGGAAAGCAATAGAAACTGAGTAGACATATATATTCCATATGAACAGATTTTATGATTAGAAAGATTAGACAAGTGACAAGCAGTCAAAAGGAGATGTTTTAAGGAAAAAATATCAAAAACATGAGTCTTTAATCTTCACAGCTAATGAAGCAGAGAGAGAAATGGGATCTACAGATATTTTCTCTAAATTTTGACCAAACTTTAACAGTCCATTTCTTGATGTTCCTCTCCTTTTCTCCTGTGAACTGGCCAGCAGAGGATAGAAAAGAACAGGATCTGTGGATGATCAACTCAGAGCAATTAAGTTAATGCTTGTCTCCCTGGGCAGAAGCAAAATATATCCTTTAGGCATTAAGTTAAATCTTAAGTACTATTTGCCTATGATGGAATGATATGGACATCACCAAGTAATCAATCCACATTGAAACAGTTGTATCCTTTTACTCTCTTTTCAGGTAGAGTGGACCTATGTGATTTCTTTATCCCTGGGATTGGTAGTCTTTTATCATGGCTGAAAATGACATAGACAGAATCCAGACTGAGAAACTCCTAAAAAGAGTACAGGAACTGGAGCAGGAGGTACAAAGACTTAAAAAAGAACAGGCCAACAACAAAGACTCAAACATGAGAGAACATTCTTCAGGAGCTGGAAAAGCGAAGCGTGCATTTGATTTCAGCGCTCATGGTCGAAGACATGTAGCTCTAAAGATAGCCTATCTGGGCTGGGGATACCAGGGCTTTGCCAGTCAGGAAAACACAAACAATACAATTGAAGAGAAACTGTTTGAGGCTCTAACCAAGACTCGACTAGTAGAAAGCCGACAGACATCCAACTATCACCGGTGTGGGCGAACAGACAAAGGAGTTAGTGCCTTTGGACAGGTAAGGGCCACTATACTGTTTCTTAAAGCAAGCGATACCCATATAGTCTAGGCGCACATACCAAGGATTCAGATGGTGTCTTTAAAACAACCATCTTTCTTTCATCCCGCAGGTGATTTCTCTTGACCTTCGTTCTCACTTTCCGAAGGACAGGGCTTCAGAGGATCTTAATTTAAAAGATGAAGTCAATGATGCTGCTAAAGAGATCCGCTATACCCACATTCTCAATCGGGTACTCCCTCCAGACATCCGTGTACTGGCCTGGGCCCCTGTGGAACCCAGCTTCAGTGCTAGGTTCAGCTGTCTTGAGCGGACTTACCGCTATTTTTTCCCTTATGCTGATTTAGACATCGTGACCATGAACGATGCAGCTCAGAAGTACGTGGGCACACATGATTTTAGGAACTTATGTAAAATGGATGTAGCCAACGGAGTGATTAATTTTCAGAGGACTATTCTGTCTGCTCAAGTACAGCTAGTGGGCCAGACCCTGGATACGGAGAGATGGCAGGAACCCTTCCAGTTATGTCAGTTTGAAGTGACAGGCCAGGCATTCCTTTATCATCAAGTCCGCTGCATGATGGCTATCCTTTTTCTGATTGGCCAAGGAATGGAGAAGCCAGAGATTATTGATGAGCTGCTGAACGTAGAGAAAAACCCCCAGAAACCTCAATACAGGTATGTTAAAAACAAAAGACAGTTGTTGCTGTTAGAATATTTTTAAGTAGATTAAATATTTTAAAAAATTAAAGGTTAACATATCTTCCTCTCCAACAACTGTCTAATTAACTAGGTCACTATTTTATTTTGTCTTCATGAAGCTTTTAATCTAACTTGGAGAATGTCATGAATATGCAGGAGGGCTAGCTTTTTCTCCTCTTGTCGTTCTATCCCATTAGTAAGAAACAGGTATGTGGACCAGTCCCCTTAAATAAAATAACATTCATTCCTAAATGTTTTTTCCCCTGAATTTATGCTAATGGTATTATTGTTAGGTTCTGGTGAAGTTTAAAAGTGAGTATTCAAACTATTCATATTAAATCTTCCTTGCTTCATAGTACTGGGCAGTCATACTACTGTTTTAAGTTTTTCCATAATTTCAGTGTCTGAAATGGTAGGAAAGGTATAAAGAATAATCAGACTTTTGAGACTAGACTGAGGTTAGATAGACTAACAATTCATTCCTAAGTAGTGAAATCTAGTTTTTACCTCATACTATACAAAATTAACAAGTTTGGAAACACGTTTCAATTAGCAGTAATAGCGCCTCGGATAAACCTCATTGGCTACGATACTGCCTCTGTGCAAAGCTAACAGGTTTGGAAAAATGTAAAAAATAATGTTATAGCATTATGAGTGAGGCCTAACAAGTTGATTCATGGTTTGTTTTTCTTTTGTCTTTTAATTATAAAGTTGTTCAAGGTCAGGGATGGTGTTTTTACTTTCTTATCTGTTAATACTGACAAAGCTTTTCCCCTCCCCTCCTTTCAACCCAACTACCCCTCCCTCCCAACTTGTTTTTAAAAAACTGTTGGATGGCTGCTGTGTACTTTCATACTGTTTCTTGTCTCTTTTTTCTCTCTAGTATGGCTGTAGAATTTCCTCTAGTCTTGTATGACTGTAAGTTTGAAAATATCAACTGGATTTATGACCGAGAGGTTCAGGAGTTCAATGTCACCCACCTCCAACAACTATGGGCTAATCATGCTGTGAAAACTCACATGTTGTACAGCATGCTACAAGGACTGGACTCTGTGGCAGTGCCCTGTGGTACAGGTATGAGGGGAATTCCTAAGATACAATTATTTACCAGAACCAAAGTTATATGGGGTTATGGGAGTAGTACATTTATGTAAAGTGTGGAGGTGATTCTATTGTGGTTACGTTTGATTGTATATATTATAGGACCGGAGATGGATGGAATGATAGAATGGAGAAATGTTAAGCCATCTGTCATAAAGCAGACCAGTGCCTTTGTAGAAGGAGTGAAAATGCGCACATATAAACCACTAATGGATCGTCCTAAATGCCAAGGATTAGAATCCCGGATCCAGCATTTTGTACGTAGGGGACGCATTGAGCACCCACATTCATTCCTTGAGGAAGAAACAAAACCCAAAAGGGACTGTCATGATACAATGGAGGAAGAAAATACTCTTTTGGAGAAACCAACAAAGAGAATCTGTGTTGATACAGAAATTAAAAGCATCAGTTAACCATAACAGAATCTAGGAGGTAATAACCAGCGAGCGGTAGGTGGATAGAAAAGAAATACAAGAAAATATGTACTACATAAGTCCTAAAACTTCAGATCATCAGCACTCTGAAAAAACAAAACAACAATAACTGCCCCCAAAAAACCCCAAGCCAAGAACACTAAGCCCTATAAAGGAAGCTCTTGCTTCACTAAGAGAATTCAAACATTCTCATTCCTGTCCAAAGTGATTAAGAGATGGAAGAAGCAAAAAAACAACTGTGAAATGGATTCACATATGTGTGGAAACCTGTGCCTTGTTTCAAATTCATTAAAGCCTGATCCTGCAAGTGTCTAACTTGTTATGCTGTTTAATTTTTATAGAGAGTGTGGGGTAGAGGGGCAGAGAGAAAAAGGAAGAGAATCTTAAATAGGCTCCACACCCAGCACTGAACCCAATGCAGGGCTCGATCCCATGACCCTGGGATCATACACGAGCCGAAATCAAGAGTAGGATTCTCAACTGACTGAGCCACCCAGGCACCCTTCTTATTCTGTCTTTTTAAAAAGCAAATGAATGGGATGCCTGAGTGGCTCAGTAGGTTAAGCATCCAACTTTGGCTCAGGTCATGATCTTGCACTCTGTGAATTCAATCCCTGCATTGAGCTCTGTGCTAACAGCTTGGAGCCTGAAGCTTGCTTTGGATTCTGGGTCTCCCTTTCTCTCTGCCCCTCCCCTACTCATGCTCTCTTTCCCTCTCTCAAAAATAAACAAACATTAAAAAAAAGTTTTTTTAAAGCATATGAAATATTCACTACTCCTCTCAATTCTCATAAAGGGCTTTGCCTGAGTGTCTTATTTTTAAGAGAGAAATTAAAAGTAAGAAATTCAGTCTGTTAAATATTTGATACATTGGTTTATGCCAGGCACAATACTACCCAAAAATGGCCTAACTCAGTAAAGCACAGCATCTCTTACAAAGCTTATCAGTCTAGTGTTGGTCTCGACTGCATAGTCATCATCGTCTTCACAACCTTTTACATATGCTGAAAACATTGTTGGGGCACCTGGGTGACTCAGTCAAGTAAGCCTCCAACTCTTGGTTTTGGCTCAAGTCATCATCTCATGGTTCAGGAGTTCAAGCCCCACATCTCCACTCTGCACTGAGAGCATGGAGTCTGCTTTGGGTCCTCTGTCCCTCTCTGACCCACCCCTGCTCTCTCTTAAAAAAAAAATACATATATATATATATACATATATATATATATATATACGTATATACGTATATATATATATATATACGTATATACGTATATATATATATGGCCTTCCCCTTTAATTTTGATGTCAGGATCCTTTTGTTTTTAGTGTAACCATTGAGTATAGTAAAATATCCTCACTTAAACATGTAAGGAAAAACCAAAGCATTTAATTTTTTTTCAATTTCCTACCTTATTTCAATGTACCTCCACTGCCATTAGTTTTCAAGAAAAACCTGGAAAAGAACAGAGTTTAAGAAATCACTATTTTAAAAAATCAACTTTAAAGAAATGATTCATGGGACAAAAAACACTAACTAAAACACCATCCATAGAGATCCCTTAGAAGCAAGCTGAGTTAGAGGATCAGCGTCTTAGATCTTAAATAAACTCCTTTCAAGGTTAATTAGGCTGTACTATCAAATCTAGAAGAATAAGCATTTAGTGACATTATTTTTTGGTAGTTACCATAGATACATTCAGGAGAATCATCATTGAAGCAATGACGCATCTTAAAATGTAACTACAAAATTACTTACGTTATCGGAGGTAACATTTATTATAAATTTCAGTTTCTGACTCATGGTACGGAGTCAGAAGTAAAGTAGACCTTAGATCTTATTTTCCTTATTGGAAAAATGGAAGGAATTAAATGAGATTGTCCACATTATATATGAATATATAACACATATATGTAACATATATATCTGATACGTATAGAAATAAAATGGTGCTGGGGCGCCTGGGTGGCTTAGTCAGTTAAGCGTCCGACTTTCCCTTAGGTCATGATCTCGCGGTTTGTGGGTTCGAGCCCCCCGTCGGGCTCTGTGCTGACTGACAGCTCAGAGCCTGGAGCCTGTTTCAGTCTGTGACTCCCTCTCTCTCTGACCCTCCCCTGCTCATGCTGTCTCTCTCTCTCTCTCCTAGAAATAAATAAAACATTAAAAAAAATAATAATAAAATGGTGCTTTGTGAGAGGTTTTATACCATTTATTTCAATGTTCATGCGATACAAAACCACCTACTAAAAAGATAAAATAAAGCAGAGACAGAAATGGAATAAGACACTGGGCTAGGAGGATCTCCCAACACTAAAGCCCAAAGAGATTTTTTTTTTTAACATCACATGTACTATACTATACAGTGATTGATTAACATGTTATTTTCTTTGCATTTAAATTATGGCACACTCCTTTTTTTTTTTGAATGTATGAAGAAGGGTGTTTGCAAATAGTAAAATACAAACTTTAGTAAAGCTCACAGATAACTAACTATAAGTTCTTTGTTTTTAATAAAGAACTAATAATTCTTTCCCTTTACTTAGGAGGAAACTTTCACATAGAAGCTAGAGCAGCTTATGTTTTGCAGATATGATAATTTTGACCAAAATACCCAATAGTACCTCTCTCCAAAAATCCTAAGCAACTTGGCATCCTTAGTAGTTCCAAGTACAAGGATTTAAAGGGTGAAAGGGGAGAATTTTAAACCAGGATACTAGTTAGATTCTAACCATTGCAGGGAGGTTTCTGTAGAGTTACAACAAATTTCTCTACCTCTCGGGAGGTAAGAAAGTAGCTCAAAGAACTACAATGAACAAAACAAGAGAAAATGAAATACCCAGCAAAAGTCAACCGTGACTCAAGAGACAATAAACTGGGGAAAATACGTGTTAACAGGTTCAAAATCACTAATTCAAATTCCTCTTAGAAAGCTATTAAAAGGTAAAAACACACCAAAAAAGGGGACCAGAATAAGGGCAAGACAGAATTTACCAAAGAAATAATGACTAATACACACAGAAAAAGATGTTCAATCTCATTAATAACCTAAACAGAGATATTAAGATATCTTTTCAGATTGGTAAGATTTTCCCATACCCAATGCCAGTCAGACTGTGGAGAAATAAGCAACCTACACCCTGTATGTGTGTGTAGATGGGGGGATATCAATTTTTCTAGAGGGCAGCTTGCCATTATGAATCACAATTTAAACTGCACCACAATTTCTAAGCCATAATCCACTTCCAAGAATTATTTTAAGGAGGTAAATTGAACAAGAATGCAAACATGTATAGGCACATGTAACCACCACCACGCTATTTTATGATGAAGAAACGGGAAAAACAAGTGTCCATCGTGAGGGGACTGGTTATATATCACATTGTACAGCACAGCCACTGCAAGAAATGCCATGCATCCATTAAAAACGATAATGAAAATTACATATATATAAATTCAGAACTAATATATCTGAAGGGAACCCAAATATGAAGCGGTCTTTTTTTTCATGGTTATCTGTGATCAGCGGAATATCTAGTATTTTCCTTTATACGATCGTTCTTCTTGGATTTATTTCTAAAAACAACGGGATGGTATAACTCTATAATCATCTTTATAAATCAACTTTATAATCATCTGGGGCAGGACTACTTGGTTCGTTTTCCCACGCTCGCACCGTTACACCCAGAAATTCACAAAGGGCGCAACTACGGGCTGGGAAGACTGATCTCTGAACAACAAAGACAACCGGGTGCCCACCTGGCCTCGGGCGTGGTTGTCACCTCCGAAGCTGGCGGCCTCCGGGGAACCCGGCTCCCGCGGCGACACCGCCCCCCCGCCGCCCTCTGAGCTACGGAGGTGCCAGCCAGGGCAGCCACCGGGCTGGCAGTGGGCGTCGGGCGCGCCACGGACACCCACTGTGACTTCGGGGGGCTCAGGCACGCCAAGGGCACAGCACGACACAGCTTACCCCAGCCTTGGGAAGCAGTAAACCTGTGTTCGGGAGATAATGTCAGGCGTGAGACGGCGCGCCAGTGGGGAAACTCCCCTTTCGTGCTCTTCAGAACTCGAACTCTCCGCACGGCGGGAAGCCGGCTGCCATGGGCCCTTGCACCCCCTATTTCAGCCTCTACCCCCTTACCTGCCCCGCCGAGGTCCGCTCGCCGCACCGAGTACCGCTGCCAGGCGGGCGAAGCTCCGCAGGCTTCCGTTAGCGTCCAGCAGCTCGCGCAGGCGCACAGCACACCCAAGCGCCGAAGCTGCAGTTAACCGCCTGGCCGCCGCGGTTTAAACCTGAAGAGCGAACCGGCGTCCTCGGCCCCGCCCCCCAGTTCTCCTATTGGTTCTGAGTGTGAACGCCTTCCATGTCTACATTCTGATTGGTGTTCATTTTCTCTTGCTTTCTCTCCCTCCCCCCCACCCCGCCCCACTGGCGGGAGGAAGCCCGGGATTTGATGCCTGGGTTTGGAAATATTGGTACCACCCCTTGCTCTGACGCGTAACCCGGAACTGTATCTGCGACGCTTTCATACCTACGGGTAGGGAAGGAGGGGACTCTTTAAACTCGGTAAATGGCAAGTAAGCGAAGTTTGGGGAGGGGCGGCCCTAACGTTCAGTCCATCTCAGTGGAAAGAGTGTCCGCCCTTCCCAATTTTGGGCGGCCCCGGGGGGGCGTGGCATTGGAACTGAAGGTTCTCCGGGTTCCCCTGGAGCCGTCTCCAGCTTCCCGGTTTTTCAGACGGTCCCCCTGGGAACTGACGCACTCGGGTTCTGTGCACGCTCCTTGAGTCCTTTCCGTGGCTCCCAGGGCTCTCGGATTTGACCCATTGCTGTGTCTCCCGTCCGTGCCAATGTCACTCTGCGCCCTTGCTCCAGCCGTGCTGACTGCTTGCTAGGATCGGCACTCACTTGCAGTTTTCCTTCGGAGTGCGCGCGTCTGCTCCCTTGACCTCGCCTTACTCCTTATAAAACGTGTTCCCGCTTTGGGAATTGCTGAGGATGAGACCTAGAAAAGAAAAGAGTAGAGGTCCCCACGACTCAGTATTCTAGCCACTGCCCTTCAACATAACTAAACAGTTTGCCCTGCCAAGTCCTGAGCGTTCTGGATCCCACATCACACAAATAGGTGCTGGATGACAAATTTTTATTTTTTCTTAAATCCAGGATTCAGTGACAGGGAGATCATATTTAATCCACTTCACATTGCCTCTTACACGCCCCCCCCCCCTTGTCTCGGGGCCTTTGCACTACCTCTAAGTCACTTTGGATGTTTTGGGGGAAAGAAAAAGGAGTAAACAAGATAGCAGAAAGTAGGTTGTAAAGATTTCAATGACCCTACCCCCTAGATCTCCGGTATCAATACTACTTTAGTGCCACACATTCTTTTCTTTACTCATGAGCAAATATCCCTTGTTCTAGTTTGGTTGTCTTATACCTACATGACCTTTGCTTTGACATCAAATCTCCCCAGTCCATCTGTTTTAGAAACAGGAGCAGAGTCATTTTTCTTACCTACTCCTTTGATCATTCAACATGCTCCTTATTTCCGCCCCTAGTTATTTTCTTGTTATTCTGTATGTTAAAGTTTGATCTTTGAAAACCTTTAATTGATAACAACTTAAAAGATATATCTCCTGTCATATTTCAAGTGATGTCTTGCGTTCAACCCAGTTCTTGTGTTTTGGTGGATCACTTAATGCTCCAGCTTCGCCTAGATCTGATTTAAAAAAATTTTTTTTCTTAATGTTTTATTTATTTCTGAGAGAGAGAGAGACATCATGAGCAGGGGAGGGTCAGAGAGAGAGGGAGATACAGAATCTGAAACAGCCCTCAGCCTCTGAGCTAGCTGTCAGCACAGAGCCTGACGTGGGGCTCGAACCCAGGAACCATGAGATTATGACCTGAGCTGAAGTCAGAGCTGTGGTTGGACGCTTAACCAACTGAGCCACCCTGGCTCCCCTGCCTAGATCTGATTTAATAATCTTCATGATTCTCTGAAATCCATTACACCCAAGTCAAGAAACCTTAACTAAGGCCATCCAAAATACAGTATATGGAAGAAAATCCTATTCTTTTTTTTTTTTTAATGTTTTATTTATTTCTAGGAGACAGAGAGAGAGACAGCGTGAGCAGGGGAGGGTCAGAGAGAGAGGGAGTCACAGACTGAAACAGGCTCCAGGCTCTGAGCTGGCAGTCAGCACAGAGCCCGACGCGGGGCTCGAACCCACAAACCGCGAGATCATGACCTGAGCGAAAGTCGGATGCTTAACCGACTAAGCCACCCAGGCGCCCCAGAAAATCCTATTCTTAAAAACCAAATTGTGTCCTTAAGATTTATTAAGGAAACTTACAAACACATAAAAAAAAATTGTATGTAATGAAGCCCTGTGAACTCAATGCTCAGTTCCAATAATTATTAATTCATGACCAATCTTGTTGTTTCTATATCACTATCCATATATTATTTTGAAGTGAATATCAGGCATCTGTAATCTATAAATATTATGTAAGATTTCTTTACAAGAAAAAACTTTTTAAAAGCATAACTTCAATATGCTTCAACTTTAAAAGCACAACTGTAATCAGACCTAAAAATATCTAAGGTATTTCCTTAATAGCATCAAATAACCAGTGTTTGATTTTCTTTTTCTTTTATAAAATCTTTTCATGTTTATTTGTTTTTGACAGAGGAAAGAGAGAGACAGAGTGTGAGCAGGGGAGGGGCAGAGAGAGGGAGACACAGATTCCAAAGCAGGCTCCAGGCTCTGAGCTGTCAGCATAGAGCTGGATGTGGGGCTCAAACTCACAAACAGATCATGACCTGCGCTGAAGTCAGACACTCAACCAACTGAGCCACCAAGGCACACCTGATTTTCACTTGTCTCAGTTTTTTTTCCCTTTGCCTGTTTGAAACAGGATCCAATCAAGTCCACACATTGTGACTGGTTGTTTCATTTAAGTTTCTTTTATAAATTCCTCCTCCATTTTCTTCTGGTGCAGTTTGTTGAAGGAATCTTGTTGTTGGTCCTATGGAGTTTCTCATAATCTGGATTTTGCTGATTACATCCAAGGTATGCAGTTTAATATGGCTCCCTTACCTTTTGGGAAATAGGTCTATTTCAGATGCTTTCCCTACTTAGGTTTATTAACCCATCAGCATCTTTTTCTATGCTTGAAATATTACTTTCAGTTGGTTATATTGTCATGCTTAAAGTAATCCCTCCTTTATGATATGTTTGCTTACCTCACCCCTTTGCTGACATTTTCAAACTCCTTCAACTATAGCCTTCTCTTACCTGACTCATTATCTCCTATCTCTAACATTTGCAGTTTTTCCTTCTTTAGTCTTAGAAATACAGAAAATAGCAATGGCATAAAGAAAGGCAAAATGAGGGGTGCCCAGGTGGCTCAGTTGGTTAAGCGTCCAACTCTTGATTTCGGGTCAGGTCATGATCTCACCGTTCATGAGTTCAAGCCCTGCATCGAGCTCTTTGCTGCCAATATGGAGCCTTCTTGGGATTCTCTCTCCCTCTCTCTCTGTTCCTCCCCTGCTTGTGCTCACTCTCTCTAAATAAACTTAAAAAAAAAAAAAAGCTGAAAACAACTCTCACCCCCTGCTAATGCCTCCTGTCAGCCTACTTGTCCAATTTCTCTTCTCTGTTCTCATTGCTCAGTTGTTTCTTAAGTCCCTGCATTCTGGATTCTACACCCATCTCTATATTCAAACTATTCTCAAACATAACTCTTCTTAATAGCCATCTATTAAGTTGTTTTGCTCAGTTCCCATTCTCTCTCTCTTTTTTGAGACCGTTTGATAATTTATTCAGCAAATATTTATTGAGCGCTTCACCTTAAAAATAAAACTGTCAATTAATTTACCAGCAAAAATTGGTTTATTTGGGAATAGCAGGGGATTGCAACGTGGGACATGCAACGTTTAGCAAAATGATGGGCAAGTACAGAGAACAAAAGAGAGGTATATTCTTTTATAGAGGAAAGGAGGAAGCTGGGAGGGACTGTTATAAGCAAAAAGTTCTTTGGAGTAGCCTGGGAATTTGAAGTATCGTAGGGTTTTCCTTGGCTAAGTTGTGACAGTCTCTCATTGGTTGGGCTGTTGTCAAGCAAGTAGAAAAAGCCTCCTACTTTCTTGGCTGGTCGCGTATAGGCTTCTTCCTGTTAGGAATGCAAGGCACATCACTTTTTACTGGGGAATCTACAGTTGACAATGAGTGGTAGAGCATGAGACCTCCCCTTTCTGGCCTCTCAGCTCTATTTTAAATGAAGTATCCTTTACTTGGTTTCACAATACCCATGTTAGGTACTGTGCTGTGTCTTAGTGATGAATAAAAAGACATGATCCTTGCCCTTTTTTTTTTTTTCTTTTATTTATTTATTTATTTATGATCCTTGCGCTTTTGAAGTTTCCAGTTGGATAGGAGAAAATGACATTTAGCAAACAATCACATTATTGTAAAATTACAGTTGTGTCCAGTGCTGAGGAGAGGCAAATAGTCTCATAAGAACATCTGATAATGGGGAGATTTGACATAGTGCCGCTGAACAAAGAGCTAAAGGATGAGTAGGGAAAATGTTGTGGAGGGGAGAGATGGGGATGAAAGGAGATTTCTAGGCAGAAGGAAAAATATATGCAAAGGCCTAGTGGGGGTGGAAGATTGGAAGATTCAAGAAATTGAAAGAAGACCAGCAAAGAGACAGAGGGTAGAGATGAGCCTAAAGAGGTAGGCAAGGGCCAGATTATGTAGGTCACGTAGCCCAACATAAAGAATTTGATTTTTTCCTAAGAACTATGGAAACTCACAAAAGTAGAGATTGGGATGTGTTTTGTGACATTTTCAGGTGTGCATTTGAAATTTTGCCTTGGATGCATTGAAAAGAATGCATTTGAGGGGGCAAGACTATGTGAAGTACAAATGCAAGGCAGTTGCGATATTCTAGGCAGAAAGGTGGTGGCTCAGGCGAGGACACTAATGGCCAGAAATAGCAAGAGGAGGACAGATAGATATTTAGTTAAAACTTATAATGACTTGACCTTGAATTGACTGGGGTTGATATATGAAAGATAGGTCATGGATTATTTGTAGGTTTCTAGTTTTTTCAGCTGGATGCCACTTTCTGAGATGGAGAATTCTGGAAGAAGGTGGTCATATTTTGAGAGGCAGAGTTAGATTTTGGGCGAATGGTGAATTTGAGATGCCCTTGAGACATCCAGGTGGAGATAAAATTAGGCAGTTGG